GGCATGATGAAACCCTCAGTTTTTGACTTCAGACCAGTCGACCTGAGGAAAGCAAAAGTCAGGCGCTTTGATAAGCCAAGGTCTTCAATGTAATTGAAGAAGACCCCATGCATTGACTTATCCTTGTGTTTCTGCAGAAATGAGGTTATCTCTGCGGCTTTTATATGAGCTTTTTGCTGAACGGGTTCCAACTCGGTGACAGAGTTGTGATCACCTTGTTCAGTATCCAAAACTATACCGAGTTCATCAGCTGCTTATGCAGCTGCTCTAAAGAGAAATGCTCGAAAACCTCCTCTCTTATGGTCACGGACCATGCAGAGAAGGGGATCCGAACTCCTAACGCTTTTACTGGCTGTATCCAGTACCATTCTGTCCTGTAAACACTCCAAACTCGAAAGTCCACAACCTCCATGTTGATACAGCTCTTCCCGAGTCCACTTCACTACTCCAAAAGAGTAGAGTAAGATTGGAACGGCAGGCATATTTGTTGCAGCCACTTTTTTTTCTTCTTCTCATTATTATCATTTTTATCTATTTCTATACTCATTTATTCATGTGAAACTATATTTTGACTTATATTAACCTGTTCATCCCATAACCTTTTAGTTTTTTCTATATGAAGTGTTTGGAAAGTTATCATCTATTCAACAATACGTACTTTTAGATAACTTCAGGAATTTTAGAACCGTTGGAAAGAACTACTGCTGATTTACAATCCTCCATTTGATTTGTCTATATATTCCTATATTCAATTCTTTTCGGAAGCAAAAGCTCAATTGTTACCTGAACGTATTTTTTGGAACTATTTACCCTTTTTATGATAAATTTGATTGACATTTTTCAATTCCTATCAAATTAATGAAAAATTCAATAATATAATGAACAATGATGAAAAAATTAATTTTCATCATATTATCCCGTTCATGTAGGATCCATTTCTAACCTTTTTTTGAAATTTCAGATAATTATATTTGTCATCGCAGTCTTCCAAGTGGTTCGAAGCATACCAGTGGGAGTTACAGTCGGCCTTGATCCCCAGCTTCATGCGATACAAACTTTGTATCACTCTCAAGATAAATATGGACAATATGCCTACGGGTATGCAACACCGACAGCAATGAAAAGTGAGACTCAATCTTCAGATGGAATAACAAGGGTAAATATCCCCAGAGGTAGTGAATAATATGTTCATTGATTTTGACTTAAACATTGTCATAGTTATGTTGACTTATCTATAAAATGCCAAAGAAACACAGGATACTTCAATTTCTAAAATAATATCGAAAACATTTTCGCTATACGTGATTTACGACTTTTATAGGCATTGGTAGAAAAATTATAACGGGAACTTCATGCAGCTGATTTTATATCTGGTCTTTCCCACCATTTTCACAACCATATTTTTGACTCTTATTTCATCACTATTATCATCACTCTCACTGTCTTTATTGATGCTGGATCTGGCTACCGTCCCAAATAACAGATTTTTCTTCAGATTGAAAACGCGGCCCAATTCTCCGAAGATCATTCTGAAAAGTAAAAGAATGACTGAATACTTTGAATTATGGATATCTTGGAAGTCATTTCGAAATACATTATAATTCAGAGTGCCCAAGATAAAAAGGCAATTGAAGTAAGGCTTGGAGATCTCGCAAGCCACCAAACTAATTCATGAATTGATATCTGTCACGAACCGCCATGAGTTGATCTTGGTGAAACCACACATCTCGAATCTGAGCTAATAGAATATTCTTCAAATGTTTTTGGGCATAAGGTTATGCCCAAAACATTCTTCATTTCAATCATGATCATATATGAAATAATATAGCCGAATAATTAGTTTGAATCTATTTTTCTGGTAGTTCGTACGAGGGCTGTCGCCCTCATACGAACGACAACTCTCCGAAGTTGAGAAACTTGTGCGAGTTATGGACTAAAGAGGTCTTACCTTTTAACGTGTGATTCCTAACACATACTTCCTGTCCACATACTTCAACCAACTTAATGAAACTGAATCGAATCTGTAATCCAACGTCCCTGAAAGCTCCGGCAGGAGGCTCTAGTTTTGTGACACCAAATATTTGTATTATTTCTGTTGAATATCCTGCAAAGAGTGAACAATGTTAACTTTAAATTCGTTCATTACCATAGAACAAATAATTTTAAGCACTGAAGTGATCCAGCTTGAAACAAGTGAAATTAAAAAATGGTAATATCTACTCTTTATATTCTCCTTACTTCGATTCGGGATTTTTCCTAACGTATTTTCTTTTGGCTTTCTCAAAATTATCTTAGTCACATTATCAAACATCATCAAATCTTTTGAACAGACTTCAGTTCGGCGCCTGCTCCAAGTATTATTCAAAGTATTTACATTTTCGCTAAACAACAATCTCTATTTTTTTTTTAAACTACACCTCATGATTTGATATCCACAAACTGTATTTGAAAAATATAATCACAACATGTTTCGCTAGGACAGTAACTTTCTGAAGTGTATTCTAGCGGACCATGATGTGATTATATTTTTCAGATAAAGTTTGTGGAGATCAAATCTTGCGGTGTAGTTTTTGAAATTACTACGGATCTTCATCAAGTGACGGCCGAATCAATCAGAAAAAATAAAAAAATACCTATTCGATAAGTGATGAAAAGTGATCATACCAAGTATTTCAGAGCTGGCAAATATCATTTTCAGTCAGTGAATAGTTCAGCAGTTAAGGAAGTTTTGACAGATGTCATTTAAACAATCATAGTGGATCACAGGAAAATTTCATCAATACAATGAATACAATCGAAATATTGCTACAAATGTATACAGAAAACTAAGAAAAGCACTCAGGAATTTCTGACAGCTGAAATCATTATTTTGACAAATGAAAACAATGACAAGATTTTAGTTACATTCACTTCATGATATATATGTCACGAAATAAGAATTTGGACAATGTCAATTTTGATAATATAGGCTCTTCTGCGAACAGTTGATATTATTTGCAATTGCGATCACATTATTGATTATAAGTGTGACTAGATCTTAGTCTGTTCCATTAGTAATCAAAACGTTAAACACCCTGCACACTCCTGGAGTTATAATTCGTCTATTTGCTCATGGATAGATGCACTGAATCCGATGAATCCATATTATCACAATACGAAAGACCCCGAAAAGTAATCAATAAATTTATTATCGCAATAGAAGTGCCCCCGAGGAGCATATCTTTTAAATATTCTAAATAAAAATATAGTGGGAAAGAAAGGTTTTGGTTTTCTACTTCTCCATACAGAAAAATGTGACAACCTTTCAAAGAAAACAAGAAAGCGATTAATTTCAAACTGAAGTATCTTTTGAACACAAACTGCAAAAAAAAAGCCCTCTCGACACAACTACGTTCAAGTGAACATTAAATTACAAGAAATATAAAATACTTTCGAAACAACTACCTTTATGTGAAAAGTAAATTATACAAAAACATTTTTTTCTATTCAGTTTTCATCCCAAACATTCGTTACGGAATTGGATCGAACATCTTTCACAGGATTACTACACGGTATTTATAGAATACGAAAGGAGTGAAATTTCACTTACATGTAACACTGTCATCCTCACTGGCAAACATCCGATGTTTCGGAATAAGACACCTGCTTTATCACTTCTTCAGCACCAATCTGGGTAACATTGAAAGATAAAGCACTCAAGTCATTCATAAAATTACGACTTTATGTCACGAATGAACTAAATCTATAACAGTACCTACATAATGACATTCATCCGCTTACTTGATTCAATTCAGTCATAGAAATCGTGTTTGAACTGAGAGAAGTATATTTTTAGAAGAGATGAATTTTGTGATAGAAATGTTTTGGCTTTCTACTTCCCCATCTTTATACAAAATGAATGTGGGAATCTTCCGAAAAAAGGACGAGAGCAATTGATTTCGAAATGAACCTTCGACAAAAAAGTACCTTTCAGACACAAGCTGGAAAAAAAGGCCTTCTCGAAGCAACTACTTTCAAATAAACATTGAAGTACACCAAAGAAAAAATACTTTCATAACAACTACTTTTGTGGAAACATTGAGTAATACAAAAAATACGTTTTCCTATTCAGTTTGTAATCCAAACAATTGTCATAGAATTGAATCAGATATGTGTCTATCGTAAAAGTTACTTCTTTGCATGATCTTCATTGATGATCTATCTATGATCTATTGTTTGTTTATTTTGGAATTAATTGCTTTTTCTCTTTATTTGGGCGACTCACACACTTCTTGTATAAAGATGGAGAGGTGGAAATCCAAAACTATCCTCTTCTAAAAATATACCATGACGTGTCATGCCATGACGTGCTGTCATCGATGCCATGAGTAGATTCAACTCATTTGTGACATGAAGCCGTGATTTCATGAACTGATTGAGTGCTTCATCTTGTGTTCAATAAGGCAAGTGTATCATTCCGAAACATCTGATGTCTGCCATTGAGTGTCTGCCATGTAAGAGAAATTTTCTCTCTTTCATATACTATATTATGTAGCAATCCTGTGAATGATATCTGATTCTTTTCCATTGTATAAATCAATGTTCAAAGAAAAGGAGTATTTTTTTCTTTCGCGTAATTCAATGTTTATATGAAAGTAGTTGTTTATAAAGGGTTTTTCCCAGTTTGTATCTGGAAGTTACTTACCTGCATGGTCTATATATATATAGAGTTTATTATGAAATTGATTGCTATTTTCCTTTCTTTGGAATATTCCCACATTTTTTCAATAAAGATAGAGAAGTAGAAAGCCACAAATTTTTTCACATATAGTCAGTGGGCATACTTGAAGACTGGCTATAAATCAAATCAACTAAAAGAACAATTCGTTCAGACCAGTCTCAACTTCCTACACTGTAGGTTAATGGGCTGACACCTATCAGAAAACAACTACTTCCCTGGCTAATACCAAGAAGGGAGTTGATATATATCCATGTAATTATACAGTGTAGGGAGTTGAGACTGGCCTGAATGAATTGTTCTTTTAGATGATTTGATATATAGCCAGTCTTTAAGTATCCCCACTGTCTATATGTGGAAAGTTTTCTTTCCTTATACGAGGAATTGGGCAAATTTTGGATATGTAGTTGTTACCTCGTTCACAGGCAGATGGGGCGAAGACAAACCTGTGGTTTGTTGTATGCTTCAGCTTAGTTCGAGGAATGATATTCTGAAGGAATTTGATTTTTAATTATCGAAAATCATCGACTTTATGTTGATTATATACAGTACCTTGCACTGACGAGTGGCCAAACAGCCCGAAACCGGTCTGCAAGTGTGTTCCAATAATTGAAAATCTATTGCGGCAGTTTAATCGCCAACAGCATATGCAGGAATAACTTCTGTGAAAAATCCTGCTCTGACACCTGTCGAATATAATTCAACGCCCTTCGTGATATTAGCCAGGGGAGTAGTTGTTTTCTGATAGGTGTCAGGTGAGACTGGCCTGAACGAATTATTCTTTTAGATGATTCCACAATTTGTTTTTCCCAAAAATCAATCTCTTCTAATCTAGTGTACTGAAAAATTGGTATTACATCAATGAGCAGAGTTGGAAATAACTGCCCGTTTTGACAAGTTACGAGATTATAGAGTCAGCGTTATATAATCTCGTAACTTGATCGACGTTGATATGAAATCAATTCTTTACAAGACAAAATACAAGAAAAAACGTGATAAATAAGAAACAAAACACTAGAGTTTTGTTTCTTAGTTGTGATTGACTTGAAGTGAGATGAACAATGTTTAATCAACCCAATACTGTCCACAAACTTTATGGAAAATAACTGAAAATTCTGAGATCACGTAACTGAGAAGATGAAAGAGCCGAATTGAAATATACATTGAAAATCCAGTCCTTGGTATCAAGGCCATGGGTAGTAGGGAAGACCGGGGCAAAATTAAGTTCGGGATAGGACGGGAAGTAAGCTTGTGTGCGTGAATAGTTATCGTGAGCGGACCAACAACGGCGCCACTTGCACGAACTTCACTCTCTGGCAGTGGGTCCAACCAGAGCTGACGCGTTGGAACTCGTTATTGCGTTGCCAATTGCAAGTGTTCTTATGAGGTTTTTGGTTCAAAAACTGATGCAGACATGTACATACCTGAGTAAATATAGTATTTCGGTCATGAGATTATTATAGTAGTATAAAACTTCAAATTCAGACTAGACTTTTTCGTCGATAAAGTTTGAGGTTAGAATATCTCCAACTTATTCGAATACATGTTGAAAGGGCCACAATGATCCGGGCACAATGGGATACAATTCCATTTTCACACATCCTTGTCGATAAAATGATATTTTCTGGGTACTGATAATTTATTTTCTTGTGACTTCTACTTTACCAAGATTTTTCGTTCATTCTGTACTGCTGTCAAAACTAACATAGTCTGTTGATTTTTTGTTTCATCATAATCACTCAATTGTTTGGGATTCCTTGTGAAAGGATTGAAATGTTTATGAAAGTTCAAAGATGCTATTGTTTCCACAGGTAAAATGGGACGAAGGAGATATAAGGAGGGCAGTAAATGCTGCTCTCGAAAACAAGATGAGGTTTGAAGGTGATTGACAATGTTTCATGATGAATTTCACTAGTTCGGACTTCCATTGTCTAATATATAAAATGATTTGAAATCGCTGAAACACTTAAAAGAGAAAAATTAAAAAATGAAAAGCTGAAAATAAAAATTATATTAACCAAAAACCTGAAATGAAATAACAGTGAAATCAAATACAAGTAAAAATAGAACAATTGAACAAAAATTAAATAAAAATACAAAGTTAAGAGATTCCAAGCCATGTTAGTTCACGACGTTTCGATTGTTGGTATCTACAATCGTCTTCGGGTGATGACTGGACTGATTCCTTCGAGAGATGACTATTTATGGGTCGTTCGAGTACTTTTACTTATCCCCGCTTTCCATTTTCCGCTTCACTGGTTTAGTGGGAGATGACCGTTTGGCGGGAGTTGGCCATTTTTCGCTTGATGATGGGTTTCCATGCGTTGCGTATCTCTACGCTAGCTTGGCTGAATACGTTGTTGGACAACATATATGCGAAGACGATTGTAGATACCCACAATCGAAACATCGACGTGGCTTGGAATCTTTTACTTTGTATTTTTATTTCCTTTTTTCATTTCCTTATTTTTATTCAATTTTTGTTCAATCGTTTTATTTTTACTTGTATTTTATTTCACTGTTATTTCATTTCAGGTTTTTGCTTGATATAATTTTCATTTTCAGCTATTCATTTTTTAATTCTACTCTTTTAGGTGTCTCAGAGATTTTAAATCATTTTATATATTAGACAATGGAAGTCCGAACTAGTGAAAAAGATGAGGTTTCTTCGAGCTTCAGCTAGGGCAGACGTTCCGAAGTATACCTTAGAATAGAAGAAGCTTATGATACTGTTGATGCCGACACTGATTATAATAATGACTATTTTCATAGCAGAACAAGTAGATGAGATGGCATAATATGTGAAATCTTTGGATGCACGGTTTTTGGGTTCAACAGTTGCTTTGTGTAATTGTTCATCAGGTGAATCAGCGAAATCAGATAGATAACACATTCAATAAAGAACCCGTATAGCGGGAGGAGACGAATCACAAGAAAAACCCTGAAAAGAAGCGCCAAACCAGAAGGCTTTAAAAAAATTTATAGTCAGATTGCTACCCCTCAAGAAGAGAATGATGACTATACTTGCATCTATTGTTTCCACTAATACTCAAAGTTAACCAAAGGTCGGGCTATCTATAGCATGTGCCATGGCTGGGAACATAATATATGTGCTGAAGTAAATAAGGAAGGCAAAGAGGCACACATTTGTGAACGCTGTCTGCTCGATTGAAATTTGTACTCGTTTTGCCCCATATCGTTTCCCATCTTATTCCTGCTATGGTGAAGAAGAAAAAATTTGCCGAGTTAACATTGAACAAACATTATTTGCCTAAAAAGTTTTGTTATTTCGCATGCTACAACGTTTAATTATGAGAGACAAATGCATTAGTGCCACCTCTCCTGCTGAAGAATGTCACTGGAAAGTTGAATTTTATTTGTATAACAAGTTTTGTCTCAGCTATATCATCTTGCCCCGGTCGTCCCTACATATGACATGGATATACTGACTGCATAGCTTTGTACCTTGAAAGTTGGTTATAATCCCATGAATTTGTAATATAACATCGAGTACAAAAAATTTAGATCAATATGAGAAAGTTTCTGCCACCTTCTCATCCAATATAACACATGAGTAGTCGGTTCTCTTTTCATACAGCACGTTCCGGTGAGGTACGTGTTGTAATATCAATACGTTTTTTCTCGAATAACTAGATGTTGGATTTGATACCTAATATTTATCTTATTTTCTACACGCAAGTATGATGTAAGAAGAGTGAATAACGAACTGTTTAAAATGTAACCTTCATCGTTGTTCATAGATCTCATTTTAAATTTATCGGTTCCTGAACTTCAAAACTTCCATTTCCATGGGACAGAATTGTTTCCAGTTCGTTAATTGTTTCTTCTAGCAGCATGAGGGTACGGAAGTGGGAAACCCGTTGTCTTCGTTTATGCCTAATCTGTTCATGAGTAGATTTCAAATGAAAACACGAAAAGAGTTGGATTACTTTCTACAAATCTGATACGTGGATGGTTTATTTGCGTTTTTTGACACAAATAAGAGTGGGGTAAAGGGTTTTTTGTCTCGACTCAAGAATATTCTCGAATATAATATTCACGTATGGAATTGAAAATAACGGAAAGGTACCATTTCTGGATATTTCAGTAATGAGGAACACCGATAGAGGTTTATAATTTGATGTATATAGTGTGTCCAACATAAGACGGACCAGCATGTTCATCTCCTACAGAACCGTAAGAGATACACAGTTGATTAATTCACGAAAAAGTTGCCCATTTCAGAGCTGGTCTTGATGATGTTTTGAAATTCAGTATCATGTATGATACATCAGTAAAATAGTAACTCACAATGGGTGATTTTTTTAGTTCATTTCAAAAAGTGAAATTGGAGACGTTACACTTCAAAAAGGAAATCTTTTTTTCTATCAACATCTTCCCTAATTTTTAAAAAAAAAATTTGAACTGTATTTTTGAATTATGCTCTATTCGGAAATAATCGATATTTTCTGAATTTGAAACATCGTAGCTGTTGGGTTGGCTGGAGTGGTTTGTTCCATTCGTTCATTTGACCGTTCGGATAGCTGCCCTTAAAATAAATGCTTCAATTCCTTCTCTCCCGTAGTCACCAAACATGTCCTATGGAGGTGCATCATTTTGTGAGTCTTCACATCACACTACTACAAACGAGTATAGTAAGATTGAAACGGCAAGCATATTTGCCGTCAATCTTCTCTGTCAGAGTTTGTGTTGATACTTGCCACGAAGCAAGTTCTTCACTGCTATTACCTTTTATGAGTGAAGTTGTTTCACTCCAAGTTAAGTATACGTCTCACCAGCATCCGGATGGTTCAGGATCCTTTCATCTACGAGCTGTACTTCCTCTCCGTAATATCCGTATCGTCCTCTTTCAAGATGGATCATTGCACCTTTATCTATCCCGAATTCGATACCCATAGTATGCGTGTACTCTTCCATCACCATCAAGGACTGATGGAGATCCTTCTCTCTAGAGGCGTGAAGTTCAAGATCATCCATATAAAACAAATGGGTGACCTTCCTTCCGGTTTCCAGGGGCACCACATTTATACGCTCGAGTACTTCTGTGTGCAAATATCAACATTATTATTATTATCATCATCATATGGAATGTACATGAAATAAGTGAGAAATTCTTGAAATTGTTGGGACCGGTACATAATGAAACATTTTTGGACGCTTTTGAAAGTTTTGAAATCCAAAAGTTTTCAGTTTTCTCATGGACAAAACAGAAGCATCACAGAAAAATCCTTAAGGGACGAATGGTGTCTGTGCGAATGTAATGATTCACTTGGATTTGAATCGGTGGAAATTAACTCCATTTGGAAAAACGTTCTCAGGAAGTTCATTCCACATAAACACAGTTCCCCAAATTAAAGAGTTCCTAAACAGTGAAGTTCGAGGTGCATTGAGTTGAATCATGAAACGATGAGCAGCACAATCCGTCGCGTATTTCTGATATACACAGATCTTGGTGGAATCAAATGTGCCAAGTCACTTGAACACCTCCCGTGAAAGTATATATAGAAGACAGACAATCCCCAACATTTCTACGATGTTCCAGACTATCAAGGTTGCAAGTGATGTTTGCGTCTCCAATCAGGCGGATTGCCTTTTTCTGGATAGAATCTAGAAGCTTTGGGGTATGTTTGGGGGCGGAGCTCGAAACATGAGAACAGTACTCCAAAAAAAGGTCTGAAGTCTGTACAGTTTTCTGGTTCGAAACAGTGTTTCAATATTTTGAGGAGCGGTCTTTGCAATTCCAGTGACATGATTGTGCCAAGACATATTTGTGTCCATTTCGACCCCCAATAAACTTATCGAAGAAGAAAGTTAAATTGTCTGTTGTGACATTATTATATCTGGTTCGGAAAGATATATCTTCATGGAGAAACCCGATGCCTGGGATTGAACCTGGTTACTTTCACCCAACTTGAAATCACTTTTTGATCCTCAATAAGATATGCAACCTCCTGCTGCCGATAAAGATTTGCATTCGCTGCCGATAACCTGGAATCCAAATTAAATGACGAGACAAGTGTGCTGTCGTCAGCGAAGTAATATATTGGATTCTTGTTTTTTCCCAATAAACCATTAATAGTAAAAGTATTCGAGAGATGTCCAGTGACCGTTATTTGCAGGAAACGTTCGTTCAGGAAGCTGAAGAACCGTACACAAAAATTATCCGAACACTTGAATACTGACAAAGGTTGTCTTAAAATTATGGGTTAGAAATCAGAAAACAAAGAAATAACGCCACAAAAAATACCAGGAAATAATTTAATGGCACTCTTTAAATATTATTCGAAGTGATGGTTCGTCCATATGAACATGAAAGCAGTTACTCTAAGATTTAGAAGATGCTTACTAACATAGACATATTTCACATTTAGTAAGAAGGCATACTTGAAGACTTGCTATGAATCGAATTTTCCGAAAGAACAATTCGTTTAGGCCACTTTCAACTCACCTACACTGTAGGTCGATGGACTTACACCTATTAGGAAACAACTAATCCCCTGGCTAATACCACGAATGGTGTTTGATTATATCTGACAGGTGTCAGTGCAGGTCTGCAAGTGTGCCCGTTCCAATAATTGAAAATTGATTCCGGCAGTTGTATCATCGACAGCATATGCAGGAATCACTTCTGTGAAGGATCCTGCTCTGACACTTGTCAAATATAATCCAGCGCCCTTCGTGATATCAGCCAGGGAAGTAGTTGTTTTTTGATAGGTGTTAGAACAATAATCTACAGTGTAGATGAGTTGTGACCAGACTGGACGAATTGTTCTTTCAGTTAATTTATAATCAGTCTTCGAGTATGCCCCCTTACTATATCTGAAGTTTTTTTTCTTATACAAGGAATTTACAATTCGAATATCGGTTGGTTAGTATCTCGTTTGCGGGCAAATGAAACGATAAAACACTTGTTAGCGGTGAATTGGCGCTGTGGCAGCGCGCCCGACTCACGATCGGAAGGTCGTGAGTTCAATCCCAACCTCGATCAGATATTTTTCTCCGGCAGAATTCATCTGGTTGAAGCTGGAATGATTCTGCAACGTTACATGGCTGACAGATTGCGAATATCCATGATGCTCCCTAGGTGGCTCGGGAAGTTATTAACATTGCCTACTCGGGACACGAGGCTAATGAACAATGCAGTCGATGCCGATGACACCCGAAAAAAAAACAAATATATTGTTGATTGTTCGCTTCACCCTTGTTCGAAGAATGATACTCTGAAAGAAATCCAATTTTCAATAATGGAAAATCTTCGACTTCATAATAATGATGGAAATTACCTTACACTGATGAAAGACCTAATACCCCAAAACCGATCTGCAAATGTGCCCGTTTTATCAATTGAGAATCGATTCCGGCAGTTGTATCGCACTGACACCTGTCGGATATAACCCAACGCCCTTCGTGGTATCAGCCAGAGAAGTGGTTGTTTTCTGATAGGTGTCAGTCCATCAACCTTCAGTCTGGGTGATTTGAGACTGAGCTGAAAGAATTGTTCATTTAGATTCAACCACGGCATTGTTTTTCAATAGACTGAATTGAATTGTTGCATTCCTGATCATGAGTTGACAAAAACCGATAAGAATTGAACCAATACCTTCCTCAAGTCAATTGCGACATTGTCTGGACTTAGATCGTTATGTAAAATAAACATATATGCAAATTATGAATATAACTACTTTTTCAACTATAAAACAGTTATCAATCTACTAGATTTCAAAAATTCTCTGAATAATTAGTGTGATTGAATAATTATTTGTTTTTGCTATCGGTGAATGTATCTAGATAATTACCTAACAAATAATAGAGAATAATAATAACAATAACAATTTCTTTTTCAAGGGTGGATACTCCTACATAGACTCGAATGGATATCTTCAAACTGTTGAATACATCGTGGATCCGGTTCATGGATTCAGAGTAGCAGCTTCAAATTTGCCCAGAGATGATCCCGACGTGGTTTTTGCAAGAGCAAAGCATATAGCAGAATATGAAGCTATCAAAGCTGAACGTGCACAGATCGCGGCTGGTTTAACTGCCGTTCCATACTCAAATCCGGTTGCCGTACCAATAAATAATGTTCCTCAGATTTCTTCGGATCATCAGGTGATTATGCTTAATTTTTCATTCATGTACAGGGTGATGTGAATGGTGACGTCAAAAAATCAGGTTCTTAATAGTTTTTGAAATTGGTGTCATGATGTATATCGCACAGTTCAGACACTTCATTCAACAACTAACACGTTAAAAATATGGACGACTCTTCAATAAATTTGTCCTACAGGATTCCTATTGTGGAAAGCGATCATATACCTGGATTGTGATCTAGGTACAAAAAATTGAACTGTCCTAACAAGTTACTACAGTCAATTTCGTAATGCAAGAGTTCAACTGAAAACATTATCGCGGTGCATTTTCTTCTATCTGCTAGAGCTTCTAAGTTGAGTGTGTTCAATAAATAATTCTGGTCTATGCTTCTAGCTGAATAGAATTAATTGCACTTGAAAAACATTAATTTCAAGCACTTACGCTAAACATATTATAAACGCTAAACGGAATTTTGATATTAATGGAGACAAAATTAAATATACATAATCTACCTCACTTCTTATGAAAGTAACATACAACAATGTGAGCGTATTAACATTTGAAAAGTTCTCCCAGTTTCTATGAAATATCTCAATAGCTTCAATGCCGACGATACAATGTGATTTATATGATTGTATTATTTATGGAATAGTAAAAAATTATTCAGTTTTTTATATGCAGACTTTGCATTCACTTACATTGAGTTGAAATCACTATATCAGATTCGAACTTCATCAAGCGAGTCCTGTAAATGATAGCAGTCGTCCATGGACTTAATTACTGAATAAGTCATCAAGTCATCCGCGAAAAGTAAATGAGGGCATGTGATCCTTACCAAAATGTTATTTATGAGAATAAAGGAGAAGAGTGGCTCCAGATTAGACCCCTGGGGCACCCTTGACTCGGAAATGTAATATTTCGACTGTACCTTCCCATATTCGACAAACTGAATGCGATGCGGCAGATAAGATTGAAACAATCCCATTAGAGAATTCAAAAATCAGATCCTTTGGTGTTTTTTCAAATGTAGAAAGTAGTCAATCTCATCTATCAACTTATTCTGTTGAATCGAGATTTCAAGAAATATTCTGTTATACTTGGCAGTTTTGCAAGTATTGGCAAGTATTATCATTCTAATATCGTTATATATTCGATCATCGATAATGCTTCCAAAGAGTTTTTCAAAATTGCATAATATAGCTACTGATCTGTAGTTGAAGACGAATGATCAGTTTCCAGATTTGAATACGGAACATATTTTTGCTCTTTTTCAAATCTCTGGGTAGCTTTCGGAAGTGACAATTGAATTGAAGATATGTGGAAGACGTTCTGTCAACGCAAAATACAATGTTTGACAATAAAAATGAAGTTGTCTACTCCAATGGTAAATTTATCTTTGAGTTTTTAGAAGATCCTATCATATCATCGTTAGAAATGGGCCTAATCAAGATATTGAGGTTATTCAATGGATCAAATCTAGTCTCGGAATAATTGTCATTAGAGTTCAAGTATACACTAGAGAAAAACTTCGCAAATCCATCCACAATTGACTGAGAAGAATCAAGAATAGAATTGCATACAACTAATAATTCTTGATTTCTATTTCTTGCAGTTGATAAAATTCCAAAATCTATTGGGATTGCCTGTGACCTGTCTCTCGATTTCTTGCAAATAGTCTACCTAATCGCATATCCCTGGACCTCACAAGGAATAATATGGGGAATTGAATGTTTCTTTTGGAAATTATTATTTTTAAAATTTTTCATTACTAATCATGTAATAACAACAAATATTACATAGCATGAACATCTAGATCTAAACTAATGAATTGCACTTAATTAAGTGTTGGAAATGGCCTCCTTCGGCTTCAATACAACCGTCTAGCCGCCGCATCATTGAATTTTGCACTCTTCTGAAAATATAGAATAAAGACTAAAGAAAATACTTTTGTCTATTTTCTAATAGAAACTAGACAACATGAATTTCTACAAAATAAATAAGTCATCAATCGAATGAGTCTTCTGAAAATACCATAAATAATAATCAAGGGTTGCCTTGGAAAACGATTGCAGCATTTAATAAACAACTTGACAGTTGTTGTCAACTTTATAAGCTTTTAATTTATAATTGTTATGAAAAGTGTGTTAAGTGGTTATTTTTCGAACCATTTTTGTAAAACATGGTTCAATTTACTAACAGTGAAATGGCAGATATGCATTTTTGTTATGGAATGGCTCACGGAAACTCGAATGCTGCAAGACGCATTTACCATGAAAGATTTCCTCAGTGTGTAGTGCCTAATAGAAGAACTTTCGTACGTCTCCATGCATGACTTTCTGAAACAGGCAGCGTTAAAAGATCGACGGTTATCATTGGGAGGCCTGCAACGGAACGAACGGTTCAAATTGAAGAAGCTGTTTTAAATGAGATTGAAGTAAATCCTCATACTAGTACTCGGAAAATAGCTGAAGAACTGAATATTACCCATGTCACAATGTGGCAGATTTTAAGAGCCCAGCAGCTATATCCCTATCATATGCAACGTGTGCAAGCTTTATTGCCCAGAGATTTGCCTGTAAGACTAGCTTTTTCTAATTGGTTACGCGGTAAAATAAGAAGAAATCTAGGTTTCCTAAGTCGAACATTGTTTACAGATGAAGCTTGTTTTCTCACAATTCAATTATTAACTTCCACAACAATCATATTTGGGCCGAAAACAATCCACACACCTTGATAAAAAATAATTTTCAAGAACAGTTTTCTATTAATATTTGGGTTGGAATTGACGGTGACCATCTCATTGGGCTTCACTTCCTTCCACCTAGACTTAATGAAGAAGAATACCGAAGGTTTATAAAATTTGTTTTACCTGAACTTTTGGAAGAAATTCCAGTCATGCAAAGATTCCGTATGTGGTACATGCACGATGGTGATCCACCATACTTTATTGTGGTGGCACGGCAATTTTTGGATGAAAATTACCCTAATAGCTGGATTGAGAGAGCAGGCCCACACCCATGGCCACCTCGCTCGCCCGAAATGAATCCCTTAGATTATTTTCTCTGGGGACACCTCAAAGCGTTGGTATACAAAACTACTATTAAAAGTGAAGAGAATTTACGGAATAAAATCATTAATTCATGTGACAATAAAAAATATGCCACGTATTTTCAGAAAAGTGCGAAATTAAATGATGCGGTGGCTAGACGGTTGTATTGAAGCCGAAGGAGGCCATTTCCAACACTTTATTTAGTGCAATTAGTTAGTCTAGATGTTAATGTTATTTAATATTTGTTATTATTACATAATTAGTAACGAAAAATTGTAAAAGAATAATTTCCAAAAGAAGCATTTAATTTCCCATATTATTCCTTGTGAGGTCCAGGGATATGCAATTAGGTCGACTTTTTTTTCTTAAAAACTAAGCAAGTTTCGAAAAAAATTCAAGAGAGAAAAAAGTTGTATTCCTAATTGCTCAATACAGAGAAATAATTGAAATTGCACAAAATTCAGTGGCGTACATTTTTAAGTCAAAAACATTCGTTCAAATCCTGCTTGACACGCCACTGGACTCAATAAATTGAATCACGTTCAGGCTAAATTAGCTCCTCAATGTTATAAATACCATTGCCGAATCACAACAAAATTGGGTGAAGGGTATTTAAAATATTCATGAATAACTTCTTTTTTATTTTTATTTTAACACCCTGTATCTTGAGAACGAAGGATTTGTGGACCCATGTTTATGTGTTCATTCCGTCTTAAAATTACCTAAAGAATCGTCTGTTTGAAGGTGAAGTGAAAGAATCGTCTGTTGAATTTATGATACGTACTTAATTAACACCCTGTATAATACTATAGCTGTCATTTTAATTCAGAAATGTTATTACATATACTGCTACCCGATCCATTCCATTCAACATTTAGTATATTGGTGAAAAATCTACAAAAGAGTCGTAAAATGACCAAACTGAAAAATTGGTTTCCATTTTCAACAAGTTATAAAATTAGCAATATACATCTTCAAAGAATTAAAATGTTTAGGAAAATCTGTTTGAAATCTGTTTTTTCGTTAATCAGTTGTCGCTCCCCCCTTCAAACGATAACCCTCAGAAGTCAAAAACTGTGCGATGTGAATATTAACGAGGTCTTACCTTTCAACAAGCGATTCCTGGCGTGAAATGTATTTTTTCCGAGACTATCATGAAGGTAGATTTGAGAAGAATAGTTATAACCATTCTCATGTGAATATTAACATAATATTGATATAATGAATATATATCAAGTCATTCGAGAATGAATATAATGAAAAACGCACTAAACAAGTCACTCTTTCATATCTCCTGATATCACAGAATATTTGTGATTATTTTCCTACTCAACTACCACAAACTGTTGAGAAAATATAAAACGTATGCAGAACTCCCGTCTCCGAACAATATATATATCAAAAGATATAAACTCGAAATCCATAAATTTCTTCTGAAACAAAATGATGGCCATAAAAAGCCAAAGAAATTACGTGGTTTTTGCTTTTATCAGAAAATAGTTCCCAATAAAAACCCACCTTATCTCTATAATAAAATAATATTAAGGTCTCGCGGAGATTAACGTACGAAACAGGGGTACGATAACTACTCCTTTTAACAAAACAGCCCTTCTTGCGCGTAGCTTTACATACAATATAGCAGAATTGTTCAATTTGATCTTAGATAATCTTGAAATATTGGCGACAAACTCAAACAGACAAAGTTATCGCAATTTTCTCTATTATATGACTTCCAAGAAAATTTATATCTTTACCTTTTCTTATGCTCGGATCATGTAACAGAGTACATTTCGCAGGTATGTTCTTTGGTTTCCTTTGTGAGGAAGTATGATGGGAAGTATGATGAATGGGAAAGAATTTCAAGCTCATTGCCCGAATACCTGCTATTATATAATACCTCAAAAAAAATTAAAAATTATATCTTTCAGGAAGATAAAATTACCATTTGCTAAAAGAAAATTCAATCAAATTTAAATAACATTGTCTGGTGGAAAATATGAGGGAAGCTAAT